GTGGTAGACATGGATCAATCGGTCTTGAGGACCCAAATTTTTCTCTTCCTCCGGAATCTACAGAAAACACATGTTAAGATGCCAACTCCAACTAGAGCGTTTAGAGTTACCTCTTCAGCTCTAAGAGTCCAGTATTGGTCGTTGATATTTTCGATCTTCTCATTTGCAGGAAAAATCTGAAAACCTTGGACATTAAGCTATGCTCGATCCAAGAAAAAGGCCAAACCTTGTAAATCTTGTGATAGAAGACTTCCAAAATTCTGAGCTCCGCATCCGGATTCGACAGCTCAACTAGACCCTTCAATTCATTGATAACATCGCCAACCGTACTATTCTTAGGAAGCCGTACGTTGTGTACAGACACCTGCATAAAAAAGAAATCGAACTTAATGCGAAACACTTCTATCTACAGACTTACCTCTTCAGTTCTAGCATTATGAAAAGCGATTTTTAGTGTCTTCAAACCTTGCAGTTCTGGAAGTGGTAGGTCCAAGGTTTCAAAATAAAGAATATCCGAGCTCTGTCACGCGGAATTGACAAAAAGATGAACAAAAGACGAATGGAATGAACGTATACCTGGTTGTAATGCACGAGCATGTCGCTTAGATGTTCTACACCCCGGTATTTAATCGGTTGTGGCTTCGGCTGTTGAGAATAGCAGTTATGTGCTGTTAATCGAATTTTGGAGGCATCATCCAGCTCTAGTTTCGTAGCCACTCTCTCAACAACGTCGTCGTAAGTATGTTGCTTTGACCTGAATGTGAATAATATTAACAGGGAAAGAATAAGAGAAGAACAATGTCACTTACAGTTCCAGGCAAAACTCATCCTCTTTAGGTCTGTCAAGTCGTCTGAAGTGAACCACCTAACACAACAAAACAGTTTAAAAGAACAAGCTCATCACACAGGCTGGTTACCTGTCTGTTTCGCACATATTCTAGAAAAGAAGGAACATCCGGATAACGGAATCGCCCTTCATCCTGAGGTGAAAGGGCCTTCTGATAACATAGGATATCTCCATCCTCGAGCTGTGAAGAACGGAAGTGAATTAGTGACTAGGAAACTAACAAACACAGCCTACCTGACTCGCCTTGAAAGTAAGTTTTTTGTCCACGGGTTCGCACATCACATTTGGTTCAAACTTTATTTCTTCAAATATTTGAACCTCAGTGTTTGCCGCGAATCCAGCCAGCTCGTTTAACTTTTCCAAAATATCAGCAGGTTTTCCCCCTTGTTTCACGAAAAGTTTGCCCACGTAGCTACAAGGAAGAAGTCAAAAATTAAAGTCACGTACATAAGCAGTATTTACCGTAGTTCGGTTTGTTCCGGGTCATAGAACTTCAAAAACAGCAAGATTTCATCCTTCGCCTTTTCGAGAACTAAAAGGCTAGGCACCTCCTGTTAATATCCAATCAGGACGTGCTCAATCACAAACACAAAAAGCCTTACCGGCCGCTCCTCAAGAAACAGTTTCAGCTCGGCATTATGGGCCTTATTCGAAGCTTCCTTCAAAAGACCCACCTATAAAAGAAATATTAGCCAAACTATAAAAATTGCTCAAACATACACTTTGTGCCTCTTCCTGCTCAGTTAATGGTCGATTTGGACGGTAGGTGTGGTTTTGCCGCTTAGCCCACAGCCAGAATCGTTGACAGTGAACGGGAACTTTAAACTCCTTGGCAACCTCTTCCTTGAACTGAGTAAACGGCATCTGCTTCTGTATGCGGAAGCTACGCACTTTCTCATGATCAACAAGGTCGAAAAAGATGTCCTTGCCAATCTGTGTTTTCAAATCCTCCTCACGAGCAACCTTGATTTTGGATGGTCAGAACATCAGAGCGAAGAGAAACGGTTGAGTACCTTGATTACTGTATACAGATGAGCCTCGGCTTTCTCCTTCCGTTTCCGTTCTTTCTCTTCGTGCTCTTTCTTCAAGCGCACCTAAAAGGAAAAGAGAACGAACTGTTACTCCACCAAAAAATACCGAAAAATATTACCTGCAAGTGCTCAGCAATATCTTTCACGTCTACATTGCAGATAACCTTGTCCTTATCGCTCTCTCTGATATATACAAGCATGTATGCATTGGAGTACTTCGTAAATTTGAAAGGAGGGTTGTTAAATCCGGGATTGGTCTGTGGCAACTGTAAGAAAAACAATAAGTCACCGAAACTAGTTTAATGACATGCTTACTTCCTCTTCTCCACCATACTGCTCCTCAAAAGCCCTTTTAACTTCCTCCTTTGTCACCCGTTCATCGTCGAACTTGTACCTGCAAATAGTCCGTTATAAAGTTTGTCTCCACAAAACAACAGCGAACGACACCCACCATTGATCGGAAAGTGTAGGCCGGATAAAAGCATAATAGTGTCCTCCGTGAACCCCTCCGCTGTGAACCAGGACACTGCACTTGCACTTATTACCGTACTGCAATGCGAAGGCCCAAAACATATACGCTACCTGTGTAAAGTATATAGATTCCGCACACTTCTATCTGCGTCAGGGGACAAATACTTCCCGTCTTCTCTGTCCAAGTCCAACTCCAAAGGAAACTCGTACCTATCATTAATCTGCATAAAATACCATTACAAACGAAGCTAACCAAAATGAAGTCGACGGACCTTGACCATCGTGTCGCGAGTGAAATCATATTCAAATCTCTTCAGTTGTAACTGGAGAACAGGTGGAAAATCTATAAAGAGCACTCCTTTCTTAGCATCCTGCAATTTGAAAGCCCATCAGCTGCATTCTAAACGTGAATAGGAAGGTCACCTGCAAACCATTCTGTTCGGCATGGTACTTATTATCCCCCTCAAGTTTCTCAACCTCCACATACTTGTCAAATGACGCATACACGTCCTTGCAGCCCTTGACATCCAATTGCAAATCTGTAACACACGTTGTGAGAAGCCCAGACTACTCAATATCAACATACCATAAAATGACTCTTTCCGCGTAGATTTGTAATCGACGTTGATGCATTCGATGTAGTTCATATGATGACCCTCAAAAAGCTGTTGAATCGTTCCTTCAACAGCGGTTCCCTGAGAAGTGAGTAGAAGATAAGAATAGCTTTGAAGTTCAACGTACAAAGTACTCACTTTCATCTTATCCTCCAACTTCTCGCAGAGCACACGGTTCAACTCCTGGACATCGTGTTGCATAAAGGAGTCGTACGTATCCCACCCAAAGGACTTTGTTAAATCCTTCGTAGCCACACTCGTGTCACTGTATTGCAGCTTGTAAAAGAGGCTCTGTAAAGCCAGTGGAATGCTATTTGAGGGAACATCGTTCTCGGTCGTGGGCATATGGTACACTGCCTGAATCACAAGAACTTAACTGTGAGACCGAACAGTCAAGGGATAAGAGATAATAGTTACCTTACGGAAGTAAGGAATGTGGTAAAGCGTCTGAAGCAGTGAGTTCATGTAGCAGGTCGCACCCTGATTCTTCAACCCAACAAAACCAGTCTCCTTCTTCGAATCGTAAGCCCAGTAATCCATCACCTTCCGAACATTTACATCCGCCTCTATACAAACCGTATCATTTACAAGGTATCCTCTAGACGAGTCGTAAAGTTCGTGCAGTGACATAAAGGAGGTAAAACCCCAGTCGCTCTCACGAGAGTTGAACTGGTGCTGAGTATCTGTACAAAACAAACGCTTAGCGTCAAATCCCGACTTCTCTTTAGCTGCTGCAAGATCTCACCTTTGCGCATACTAAGCTTCTGCTCGAACTGGTTAATGACCGCCAGGCTGAATTGCGCGAATCTAGTCCAGCCATAAGGCAAAGTCGCAGAATCCGCAACGTCGAGGTAGATGGACAGATGGTCGACATTGTTTCCTTTGGGGAAGACAAGGATACGCCTGCAAGTCACAAAACACTCGCTCATCCCACCCCACGAAGAGCAAAAAAAGAATAAAGCTCGTCACACACATACCACTTATACCCCCCGATGATGAAGGTGTCAGAGTAGTGCTTCCTCATAGTAATTCTCGAAAAGTTTGGGATTTGCCACGAAAACTTTCCAGACAGCGGGTCCTCTACAACCTGGTTGTCTGCACTGCTCACCGTCTCGGTTTGCCCTACAACTGAAGAACACCGGCCACATTACTTCCAAATCGCTGGAAGAAGCGAAAACCCACCTTCCATTGCCTCGATGCTGTCGTTCACCTTGCCGGACACCAGCATGCTCTCATCTTCCTGCGAAATCCAGTGATTACTTCCGCGAAAATATTTCCAGATCCTACACGGGGCAGGGCAACAGTGACCGACACATACCTCTAGGGGCGCCGCCATGACTGTCATCGCTCCAGCCGAATTCGCAAACCCTATCTCCGATTCGCGAGCGCAACACGATTGACACTGCCGCCCGCTCCCCCCAAACCCTAATTTCCTGGGACCAGGTCAAAATATTTTGCTCGATCGATGGATCGAGGGAGCGGCGATGGCGCGAAGAATCAATCCAGTGAGCATGCACTGAGGGATCAGCCCTGCCGCACCGTTTGCTAGCCTAGCCGCAAGCCTCCCCCCCCCCAAACACAAACACCCCACACCAAAATAAAAAAAAATTGGTGTATAGTGGCTTTGTGTGCTTATGTGTCATCGCTGTGTCACATGACGTGTCTGACACGTGTCCTTTGGCGTGTCACTGAAGAGCCCTAATCCGGCTCTTTCGCGCCATCTCGGCGATTTGAATGAACGAGTGTGTCGATCTTGCCAGATCTTGCCGGTGTCTATCCCGCGCGCGGCAGATCCATCGCGAAATCTCTGCGCTTCAGGGTCCTCCTCTTCCGATCTTCCTCTCCAATCTCTTGATCCGGATGTATGGCAACTGTGGCAGCGCGGAGGATGCGCGGAGGGTTTTCGATTCGATCCAGGCCAAGGATGTGTTCTCCTGGAATCTCCTCCTCTCGGCCTACATCCAGAGCGGGCAGATCAAATCAGCCAAGGATTTGTTTGATTCTATGCCCGAGAGGGATGCCGTGTCCTGGAACACGATGCTTGCGGCGTTTGCCCAGAGCCGCCAGCTCCACTACGCTCAAGATCTCTTCGCAAGAATGCCGCTATGGAGCTTGATCTCCTGGAACTCGATGCTCTCGGCGTACTCTCGCAGCGTGGATGCGATCCAGAAGCTCCAAGATCTCTTCGATTCCATGCCGGTCACAAATCTCGTCTCCTGGAGCGTGCTCTTGGCGGCATACGCGCAGATTGGGGATTTCCAGCGCGCGCTCGCGATTCTGGAAAGAATGCCCGACTGGAATCTCGTTGCCTGGAATTCGCTGCTGGATGCTCATGCCCGGCGAGGAGATCTGGATCGGGTGAAGCAGCTCTTCGATTCGATGCCCGATCGAGACATCCTCTCCTGGACCGCGCTCCTCACTTGCTACGCTCGATCCGGGAGATTATCCGATGCTTCCCTCCTCCTCGCCGCCATGCCCGCGTGGGATCTCGTCTCCTGGAACGTGATGCTCGCCGCGGAGGCCGAGAGTGGGAACATCCACAGCGCCAAGAATTTCTTCGATCGAATGCCGGAGCGGAGCTTCGCGTCCTGGAATCTGATGATCACCGCCTACTCGCACGACGGCCAGGTGAAATCCGCCAAGAGCCTCTTCGATCAAACCCCAGCCAAGAACCTCCTCCTCTACAACGCGATGCTCACAGCCTACGCCCAAAACGGGTGCCACGCCCTCGCGATCGAGCTCTTCGCCTCGATGCCGTGCAGAGATCTCGTCTCCTACAATGCAACGCTCTCCGCGCTCGCGAAATCTAGCCCTATCGATCAAACCAAAGATTTCTTCGACCTAATTCCCGAGAAGAACATCGTTGCATGGAATGCGATGCTCACAACATATGCCGAGAATGGGCATCTGGAAATGGCGATTTCCATGTTCGATTCGATGAGCCATCATGACATCGTGTCCTACACTGCCATGGTCACTGCGTATGGATCGAGCGGCCAGATAGAACACGCAAGAACGGTGTTTGATTCGTCACCCCAGAAAGACGTTGTTTTATCAACTGCCATGCTCGCAGCATATGCCCATTTAGGGTTCTTGGCAGAGGCTAGCACAATTTTCCAATCTTTGCGAGAATGCAGCATGATCACGTGGAATTCTATGCTAGCTGCGCACGAATTGAGCAGCACAATCGAGAAATCCCAGTGGATTTTCGATTTGATGCCGGTAAGAGATACAGTGTCTTGGATTTTGATGCTCAGCGCATATGCCCGCCTTGGGCATCTGGAGAGAGCGATTTCCTTCTTCGCGACAATGCCAATGCCACACGCAGTCCCAGATCGCGTCGTGCCCTGGAACACGATGCTCGCGGCGCACGGAACCAGCGGCCAGGACGCCGAGAATCTCCTGTGGGCCGCGAATTTGCAAGGCGTGGCCCCGGATGCCGTCTCCTTCGTCTCGATTTTGGGGGCGTTTGGCCACACCGGCGACGTGGATTCCGGCTGGAGCTACTTCGTGTCGATGCGCAGCGATTACTCGATCCAGCCGGAGAAGCTCCACTTTGGGTGCATGGTGGCCATCCTGGCTCGAGCCGGGAACTTCGATTTCGCCCGGGATCTCCTCGACAACATGCCATTCGTTCCAGGGATCGAGCAATTGAGCTGCCTGACACTGTTCTAGAGCCAAACAAATTAGATTTCGTCCAGGAACTTCCAGAGATCGAGCAATTGAGCTATGACGCAATCGCCCATCTCGAGATCTAGACTAGACAATTGGAAGAAACAAAGATCTTCCTCCACGTGCCATATATCATGTGTCGAAGGGCACCAAATTATAAAACTATATACGTGATCCTATCAAGCATCCCTCAAGCTCCCATATATAATATCTATGGTCCTTTCAAAGGGCTGTCTCTTCGCTCTTCGGAGCACTGGCCGCCTCGACTGTCTCCTGGACAGCATCCACAGCCTTGTCTTGGACGCTGCTTTTCCCCTTGAGATCCTCGGCCGCGGCCTTGAGCTCTCCCGCCGCGGCCTCTTTCTTCTCTGGAGCAACGTCGGCCTCGGCCTTCTTCACGTAGTTCCTCGGCGTGCCGGGGTGGTCAATGTCCACGACACCGTCGGGGAGCTTGGCAGTGTCCATACCCCCACCACCACCTTCCTTCTTAGCTCCTGCTCCTCCCATTTGCTGCTTCGCGGCGTCTGGAAGGACGTTGGCACTTCCCATAAGCTCCGAGTCGATTGGAACTTCGCCGCTGGTCTTCTTTGCCTCCTCCGTGCGGCTCTTCTTTGGCTCCTCCGTGCCTGATCCATGGCCTGCTTCTTCCGTCTTTGGCTTCTCGCTCTCCTTGTCTCCGCTGGGAAAGGATCCTGCCTGCTTCTTGAAATCCATGGAGGAAAAAAAAACCGAAATGTGAGTAGACAAAGAGAAGAACCGAGAAAGTCTAAACTGCGGATGGCACTTCTCCAGTGGATATTTTTATAGAGTCCGGGAAAACGAGTAAAGGGACACGCCCAAACGGGATCACTATCCTCCTGTGAAGAAATATGGACGAGGTAAATGTGAGACAGAGAAAAAAAGATATATACAAAACTGCCCCACCGACAAGTGCCACCCATGCACCACCAAAGATTTTTATCACGCCGCTGCGGTTTGATTCGTCTCAGTGAGAGAACTATAGTACAAAGCTTTCGAGCCTTATTTCGTGCTGCTACCTTGTCTGCCAAAGAAAAGAACAGTTTAGCATAAAAGAAATGGAAAAACTTGTCATACCAGGTAATGAATTGTCTCGCTCCAGTTAAGAACTCTGTATCTGCAAAGAGAGAGAAGTCAACCAGGGAATCGTGAATCAAAAACATGTCCTTCAGCCACGCCAATTCCTCATACGACTGGTCCGTATTCTAGTTACACGAGCACTGCTCCAACCGGTTGCAAGACCGGGAGCAACGACGTGCAACGTCAACGGGCAGCGCAGTGAGATTACTAAATTATGCATCATAGGACCGAACCACCAGAAGGAAAAAAAGTAAAGCGAACTTACATTGAGAGCTTAGAAGTTTAAGATGATCTTCTCTTGTGGAACCCCTTCGGCCGAGAGTAGATCAGTCACATCCTGCAATAAAAATATCACAGTGAAGGTAGAGCAAAGGGAAACAAAAAATCTCTACCTTGACCATGCCCTTGTGGCCACAAAGAAAAGTAACAACTTGAGAGGAATCTGGAATACTTATGTTCTTCGAAAAGGCTGCATAACAGTGACCATAAAAATACCTGGACATATCCTGATTCGCCCATCCAGCTCCCATCAGTCTGCGAGAGTATGGGAATTATGCTCACGCCGTGTCCTATCGTAGAGATAAGTGAGAATCGACAACCGAAAAAGAAACAAAAGAAGAGTACCCGATATGCCATTCTGTCAAGACCCCCTCACATCGCTCCTAATTCCGGCCTCTGAAAGTGATCGAATCGAACTGTCCTGAAAAAAAAAAGAAACCATCCCAAAAGATAGCGAACTACAAGTAAGAAAAACGAGTGGAAAGAAGGAAACATCATGTCTACGTAAACTATCCCAAGAGATGAAAGAACGAGAGTGGAAAGAAGAAAAAAAATGCCTACGTAAGAACAAAAAAAGAAACGAGTGGAAAGAAGAAAAAATCATGTCTACCATAGCAAGAACAAAGAAGGAAAAAAAAAAAAAAAGGAATGGAGATGGAAGAAAAAAGAAGAAGAAATCACGTTACCTGATATCAGAGCCAGTCGCGAAGAACAGCAGAGTCTGGAACTTCTCTGGAGGGTAGAGCTGGTCGGTATCGAAACCTTTGCCCACCACTTGGCTTAAATCCACCTTATCTCCCTTGGCCAGATCGCACAGCACAGCCGAGGTAGTGCCCTCCACGTCCTTGACAAGGAACTCCAAGAATCCCTTAAATTCCCAAATTTTGGGAGGCCTTTAAACATGCCATTGTTGGGCTTTTGCAACACTTACGGATTCTCAAGCTTGGAGATCTTCTTTGGGCATAGAATCGAACACTTGTCTAAAGTAAAGAAGCATATCTTGTGCGCAGATATGTAATATGTGTCTTTCCTGACAATATTCTTTCATGAAATTAGAACGTTCTTCTAGCTTCCAAATGCCCAGCTTGGGCATTTTCATTAGCGCATGTTGACTTTGACATGGTTGACTTTGCATTGACTTACATTGAAAAAGTGGCTCTGGCTCCCAAGAGATTCTTTCTTCTTGCGATGCTCCACAGCGATGGCGTTTCGACCACCACCACCACCAGCAGGAGCTGGAAAGTGGCAAAGAAATCGACGAAGGGAATCGCCCCACTCTGGCGGCGCTCAAGGAGGTAAGCAAGGCCAGGGGTGCCAAGAGGGGGCGGGAGCTCCACTCCGACGCCATAGCCAGTGAAGTGGCGGGCGATCTCTTCGTGGGCAGCAGCCTGGTGGACATGTACTCCAACTGCGGCCTCATAGGCGAAGCGCGAGAGGTATTTGACGCCATGCCCAGCCATGACATTGTCTCGTGGAATGCGCTCATGCTCGGTTACGCAGAGAACGACAATGGATTGGCGGCGCTCGCCCTCTTCTCGCCGATGCGCGACGAGGGCTGCTCTCCAAACTCGAGAACTTTTGTTGCTGCGGCCAAGGCATGCTCTAGCATTGCCACGGCTTTCCAAGATGAGATCGCTGGAGATTGGAATGGCAATCCACTCGCAGGCGCTGGAGAGGAGGTGTGGATCCAGTTTCGTGGAGAGCTGCGTTGTCGAAATGTGACACGAACCACAGGAATATTCCAGAATATTCCATGGCCGGTGGGATTTAAGGCTGTAATGCCTGAAGTATTAAGAGGTTGGCCTAAAGTTCATGTTTCTGTTCGTTTCATTGGTATTAAAGTAGCACATTCTTTTTAGGGTGAGCAAGATATTAATCTTGATAAAGAGTATGGTGTTAGTGATGATGGCCATGATGATGAAAAAGAAACTCTTGATAATGTCGTTGTGTGACAAGGACACTAAATTTCTAAGATTTAGAGCGACATAAAGGAGGTTAAAAATTCTGTCAATCTTATTAAGAATTTTTTGTTTTGCATGGACCCATTGAATCACACTCATGTCCGTGATTACCATTGGTACATCAAGCATACTAAGAATTAAACCAAAAATTAATCTCTTAACTATCACAAACATTTGGTGATGATTTATATTCCACAATACCAAGAATTATGAGAAAGTTGTTAGTTTCACAATCCTTGTGAGGATAAAATGAAGATAGATTTTTTTGTGACGAAGCTTATGAGCCATGCTTCTTCATGGTGAAAGAATTACATCAAAGCTAATTCGAAACTAACTTCTTGGATTGATTTGACAAAGGTCTTCCGCACTTCATTTGTCAAAAAGTTTGAAGAAGTTGATTTTGTGAACCAATTATTAAAGATCCGGCAAGGGACTTTGTTTTTGGATGCATATGCCTACAAGTTCCGTGATCTTTACCTTAGTTTTACGAGCATCTATAATGAGTTGCTAAAGGTGTAATGTTTCATCAAAAGATTGAGCTCAGTGGATATGCAACAGAAGGTTAAAAAGGATTTTCTAGCAACATTGACTGATGCTATTACTAAGGCTTAGATCTTTTCACCCAAACTATCAGTCAACTTGGTCAATTCTGGTCAACAGGATGGTCTACGGGGTGGTCAACGTGATGACCAGCTTGCCAATGCTTCATATTTGGGGATGAAACAACCATTGTTCCATTGTGGCTCGAAGAATGAAGATGGCAGTGAGGTTATGAAACTTCATTTACACCAACGAGAAAAAGACAAGGTAGAGGGCAATTGTTTTCGTTGCCACAGGTCTAAACGTTAGAGCAAAGATTGTTTTGAAGGGGTCAATGAATGATAAGGTGACTATGGTGGAAATTATATGTGTTTTTGGGGCTATATTACTTCCAATTAGGCATTCTCTCACATTCATGAGCCACAAATTTAATGCCACACAGTTGTGAGACACAAAATCCCTAAGCCCCAGAGTGGAGCTGGAAAGGGTGCCACATGGTAATGGCCGAAGTGAAAGCCAAACGAGCGTAGCACGTTTGGACTAAAAGCTCCGACTTGGAAGGTCGAGAGCGGGAGTGGAACTCCCAACAAGGGCTCGAGGAACAAGCACGAAGCGAGCAATAAGTCAGACTCCAAAAAGGGACCCAAAAGGACCAACATGTCAAGACCCCCAACAAGATCAAGACTGGAAAATGCTAAAGACAAAGAGAAAAAGCTAGTGAAAACAAAGAAGAGGCCTTAGACTGGTGTTGATTCAGATTGTGGAGAAATGGAACAAGGCTAACCTATATATACTATAGGTTGATGAAGCTCCACCACTCTTGGATCGAGGACATCCTAAATACAGCTGAGGTCGAGGAGGCGCCACATCATCATCAGGAATGTGTCTCGAGAGTCAGGAATAGGGAAGTGTCTCGAGAGTCAGGAATAGAGAAGTGTCTCGAGAGTCAGGAATGTGGTCTGCAGGTTAGGAATCCGGCGAGAGTCAGGAATGTGGCAAGAATTGGGGGATTCCTGACAGCACCCCCTCCTCAAGAACGAGTGGAATGAGGATGTGAACGAGAACGAAGAGGAGGATGAGATGAGCGGCGAGGGATGGGAGATGGAGAAAAAGAATGAGGACTGG